ATTCGAAATGTCACTGAATGAGATTTCATCACCGCAAGTTTCGCCTTTTTTGGAGTCAAATTGCGCCCGCACCAGGCCGAACACTCTGATATTATACCAGGCACCAATTAAAAAAAAAAAGTGAATTAGAGATGTCGGAGTGAATTGACAGGACCTATACCATTCGAAATGTCACTGAATGAGATTTCATCACCGCAAGTTTCGCCTTTTTTGGAGTCAAAGTGCGCCCGCACCAGGCCGAACACTCTGATATTATACCAGGAACCAATTAAAAAAAAGTGAATTAGAGATGTCGGAGTGAATTGACAGGACCTATACCATTCGAAATGTCACTGAATGAGATTTCATCACCGCAAGTTTCGCCTTTTTTGGAGTCAAAGTGCGCCCGCACCAGGCCGAACACTCTGATATTATACTAGGCACCAATTAAAAAAAAAGTGAATTAGAGATGTCGGAGTGAATTGACAGGACCTATACCATTCGAAATGTCACTGAATGAGATTTCATCACCGCAAGTTTCGCCTTTTTTGGAGTCAAAGTGCGCCCGCACCAGGCCGAACACTCTGATATTATACTAGGCACCAATTTAAAAAAAAATTGAATTAGAGATGTCGGAGTGAATTGACAGGACCTATACCATTCGAAATGTCACTGAATGAGATTTCATCACCGCAAGTTTCGCTTTTTTTGGAGTCAAATTGCGCCCGCACCAGGCCGAACACTCTGATATTATACTAGGTACCAATTTAAAAAAAAATTGAATTAGAGATGTCGGAGTGAATTGACAGGACCTATACCATTCGAAATGTCACTGAATGAGATTTCATCACCGCAAGTTTCGCCTTTTTTGGAGTCAAAGTGCGCCCGCACCAGGCCGAACACTCTGATATTATACTAGGCACCAATTAAAAAAAAAAGTGAATTAGAGATGTCGGAGTGAATTGACAGGACCTATACCATTCGAAATGTCACTGAATGAGATTTCATCACCGCAAGTTTCGCCTTTTTTGGAGTCAAAGTGCGCCCGCACCAGGCCGAACACTCTGATATTATACCAGGAACCAATTAAAAAAAAAGTGAATTAGAGATGTCGGAGTGAATTGACAGGACCTATACCATTCGAAATGTCACTGAATGAGATTTCATCACCGCAAGTTTCGCCTTTTTTGGAGTCAAAGTGCGCCCGCACCAGGCCGAACACTCTGATATTATACTAGGCACCAATTTAAAAAAAAATTGAATTAGAGATGTCGGAGTGAATTGACAGGACCTATACCATTCGAAATGTCACTGAATGAGATTTCATCACCGCAAGTTTCGCTTTTTTTGGAGTCAAATTGCGCCCGCACCAGGCCGAACACTCTGATATTATACTAGGTACCAATTTAAAAAAAATTGAATTAGAGATGTCGGAGTGAATTGACAGGACCTATACCATTCGAAATGTCACTGAATGAGATTTCATCACCGCAAGTTTCGCCTTTTTTGGAGTCAAAGTGCGCCCGCACCAGGCCGAACACTCTGATATTATACCAGGCACCAATTAAAAAAAAAGTGAATTAGAGATGTCGGAGTGAATTGACAGGACCTATACCATTCGAAATGTCACTGAATGAGATTTCATCACCGCAAGTTTCGCCTTTTTTGGAGTCAAAGTGCGCCCGCACCAGGCCGAACACTCTGATGTTATACCAGGCACCAATTAAAAAAAAAAGTGAATTAGAGATGTCGGAGTGAATTGACAGGACCTATACCATTCGAAATGTCACTGAATGAGATTTCATCACCGCAAGTTTCGCTTTTTTGGAGTCAAATTGCGCCCGCACCAGGCCGAACACTCTGATATTATACTAGGTACCAATTTAAAAAAAATTGAATTAGAGATGTCGGAGTGAATTGACAGGACCTATACCATTCGAAATGTCACTGAATGAGATTTCATCACCGCAAGTTTCGCCTTTTTTGGAGTCAAAGTGCGCCCGCACCAGGCCGAACACTCTGATATTATACCAGGCACCAATTAAAAAAAAGTGAATTAGAGATGTCGGAGTGAATTGACAGGACCTATACCATTCGAAATGTCACTGAATGAGATTTCATCACCGCAAGTTTCGCCTTTTTTGGAGTCAAAGTGCGCCCGCACCAGGCCGAACACTCTGATATTATACCAGGCACCAATTAAAAAAAAGTGAATTAGAGATGTCGGAGTGAATTGACAGGACCTATACCATTCGAAATGTCACTGAATGAGATTTCATCACCGCAAGTTTCGCCTTTTTTGGAGTCAAAGTGCGCCCGCACCAGGCCGAACACTCTGATGTTATACCAGGCACCAATTAAAAAAAAAAGTGAATTAGAGATGTCGGAGTGAATTGACAGGACCTATACCATTCGAAATGTCACTGAATGAGATTTCATCACCGCAAGTTTCGCCTTTTTTGGAGTCAAATTGCGCCCGCACCAGGCCGAACACTCTGATATTATACCAGGCACCAATTAAAAAAAAAAGTGAATTAGAGATGTCGGAGTGAATTGACAGGACCTATACCATTCGAAATGTCACTGAATGAGATTTCATCACCGCAAGTTTCGCCTTTTTTGGAGTCAAAGTGCGCCCGCACCAGGCCGAACACTCTGATATTATACCAGGAACCAATTAAAAAAAAGTGAATTAGAGATGTCGGAGTGAATTGACAGGACCTATACCATTCGAAATGTCACTGAATGAGATTTCATCACCGCAAGTTTCGCCTTTTTTGGAGTCAAAGTGCGCCCGCACCAGGCCGAACACTCTGATATTATACTAGGCACCAATTTAAAAAAAATTGAATTAGAGATGTCGGAGTGAATTGACAGGACCTATACCATTCGAAATGTCACTGAATGAGATTTCATCACCGCAAGTTTCGCCTTTTTTGGAGTCAAAGTGCGCCCGCACCAGGCCGAACACTCTGATATTATACCAGGAACCAATTAAAAAAAAGTGAATTAGAGATGTCGGAGTGAATTGACAGGACCTATACCATTCGAAATGTCACTGAATGAGATTTCATCACCGCAAGTTTCGCCTTTTTTGGAGTCAAAGTGCGCCCGCACCAGGCCGAACACTCTGATATTATACTAGGCACCAATTTAAAAAAAATTGAATTAGAGATGTCGGAGTGAATTGACAGGACCTATACCATTCGAAATGTCACTGAATGAGATTTCATCACCGCAAGTTTCGCTTTTTTTGGAGTCAAATTGCGCCCGCACCAGGCCGAACACTCTGATATTATACTAGGTACCAATTTAAAAAAAATTGAATTAGAGATGTCGGAGTGAATTGACAGGACCTATACCATTCGAAATGTCACTGAATGAGATTTCATCACCGCAAGTTTCGCCTTTTTTGGAGTCAAAGTGCGCCCGCACCAGGCCGAACACTCTGATATTATACCAGGCACCAATTAAAAAAAAGTGAATTAGAGATGTCGGAGTGAATTGACAGGACCTATACCATTCGAAATGTCACTGAATGAGATTTCATCACCGCAAGTTTCGCCTTTTTTGGAGTCAAATTGCGCCCGCACCAGGCCGAACACTCTGATATTATACCAGGCACCAATTAAAAAAAAGTGAATTAGAGATGTCGGAGTGAATTGACCGGACCTATACCATTCGAAATGTCACTGAATGAGATTTCATCACCGCAAGTTTCGCCTTTTTTGGAGTCAAAGTGCGCCCGCACCAGGCCGAACACTCTGATATCAGTCTGTCGGGAAAATAACGGCGGATCGTCGCATCAAAATGTCTCGCCTCGCCGCTATCGCGCACCAAATCCCAAGCCGCGGCTTTCAGTCGCAGAGCGATAATGGGCGATTCCGAGGCGCGACGATCCGCCGTTATTTTCCCGACAGACCGATATTATACTAGGCACCAATTTAAAAAAAGTGAATTAGAGATGTCGGAGTGAATTGACAGGACCTATATGATTCGAAATGTCACTGAATGAGATTTCATCACCGCAAGTTTCGCCTTTTTTGGAGTCAAAGTGCGCCCGCACCAGGCCGAACACTCTGATGTTATACCAGGCACCAATTAAAAAAAAAAGTGAATTAGAGATGTCGGAGTGAATTGACAGGACCTATACCATTCGAAATGTCACTGAATGAGATTTCATCACCGCAAGTTTCGCTTTTTTTGGAGTCAAAGTGCGCCCGCACCAGGCCGAACACTCTGATGTTATACCAGGCACCAATTAAAAAAAAAGTGAATTAGAGATGTCGGAGTGAATTGACAGGACCTATACCATTCGAAATGTCACTGAATGAGATTTCATCACCGCAAGTTTCGCTTTTTTTGGAGTCAAATTGCGCCCGCACCAGGCCGAACACTCTGATATTATACTAGGTACCAATTTAAAAAAAATTGAATTAGAGATGTCGGAGTGAATTGACAGGACCTATACCATTCGAAATGTCACTGAATGAGATTTCATCACCGCAAGTTTCGCCTTTTTTGGAGTCAAAGTGCGCCCGCACCAGGCCGAACACTCTGATATTATACCAGGCACCAATTAAAAAAAAGTGAATTAGAGATGTCGGAGTGAATTGACAGGACCTATACCATTCGAAATGTCACTGAATGAGATTTCATCACCGCAAGTTTCGCCTTTTTTGGAGTCAAAGTGCGCCCGCACCAGGCCGAACACTCTGATATTATACCAGGCACCAATTAAAAAAAAGTGAATTAGAGATGTCGGAGTGAATTGACAGGACCTATACCATTCGAAATGTCACTGAATGAGATTTCATCACCGCAAGTTTCGCCTTTTTTGGAGTCAAAGTGCGCCCGCACCAGGCCGAACACTCTGATATTTCCAGCCAATTTTTCGTCGAGCGGTCGGTCCCCAAATTTTTTCGTCTGCGAAGAAGATGAGCAACCCCCACATACAACCTCCAAGCTCCAATAATGAAATGTGGAATCTGATCATTGAGCAACAGCGGACCATATCAGGTATGGCAGATACGATTTCCAAACTCCTGGCCAAAGTGGAATCCCTGGAAGCAGAAGCCAAGGCGCATTCCAAAACTACCGCCAACATCCCACTATCCTTGGCCGAAATTGCCAAGGAAGTCAAGCAGCAAGACGACAAGAAGTACACGGTGGTGGTCGAATTTGCTGCAGAAGGACAAGATGAAGCCACCAACAACGCTACCGACAGAACGCTGGCCGAACAACTCGTGACTTCCGCGGGATTAGACACAAGTGCGATCCAGAAAGTTTGGAGACATACCGGCAGCAGTTGGAAAGCTGGTCAGCGCCGCCCCCGCCCCTTGAAGATCAACTTGGCCGAACCCAACAAGGCACATGATGTCATCAAAGCGCTGCGAGCAGCCAAAAATTGGTCCTGGCTGCCCCCAAAGGCCCATGTCCGGCGTGACCTGACCCGAGCCGAACAAACCCAACTACACGAAGCACGACGAAAATGCCACACCCTCAACACCGCCGCCAACGCCTCCAAATACTTTGTTGATGACCTTTTTGATGTAAAAGAAAAAAAAAGCCCGCGTCCATGGTCAACTGCTCAGGTGAGTGCGTCGGCTTAGGACAGGGGTAGACACAATACTGACATAGGATATTTTTTAAATACTTTTTCGCTAACGAAAGAAAAATTTGCAGAAATTTCTGACTTTGTTCAAAGAAACAAACCACTTTTTTTTGGAATCTGTGAATCATGGCTAAACTCAAACTTTCCTTTAGCTACTATAGAAATCCCGGAATACACTTTCTATAACAATCCACGCTCAAAAACGAAAGGCGGCGGAACTGCAATCTGGGTACGATCTGAAGCTCCGCAAGTCTTAGTAGACAGCTACTGTACACAAGCTAAAGGGTCACAATATGAGCAACTAACTATAAAAATTTTTAACACCCATATAGTAACGTTTTATAAACCCCCAAAAGTTGCTTTTAACGACCTCACTTCTTGTTGGGACTCCATCCTATCACTAAAATCCCCCAATACCAGCATAATTTTCGTAGGCGATATAAACTGCATATACTCTGAAGACCCCCTATCTAGTTACCTCAAATCGCGCCTTCTTAAAAATTTCCAAACTCTGCCAACACATGGTAACAAGGCACTAGATGTTTGCGTCGCAAATGAAGAAGATCACATTATTGCTGAGACAGATGGGAGTCTTAGTATTAGTGACCATAAGTTAGTGAAAATTACATTAAACACGGGAAAAACGGTAAAAGAGAAAAAACACTGCGTAAAAACTGAGTTTTGCCGGGACCTCACTCACTTTACACCAGCGAAATTCAATACAGCGGTCACAAACCAAGACTGGAGCATGTACCACCAAGCTATCGCAAGAAACCAAATTGACCGCGCAGTAGAAATCCTAAACACAAATATTACCACTGCGTACGATTCCGTAGCACCTTTAAAGCCCTTCAAACCACGCGCACTTCTTTTACCACCTGAAATACTAGATTGGATATTTACTCGGAATTCGATGCACCGACAACACCAGTGCAATCCCAATGATCTAGAGATCCTTAACGACTTTAAACGAATTAGGAACTTTGTGAAAGGACTGATCCGAAATTACAAAAAAGAGATGACAGCCAAAAAATTTAGAAAGTGTAAGGGGCCAAAAGACACCTGGAACACACTAAAGAACTTAATAGGTTGGAAGGGTACTCACGTAGTCCCTGAAGTAGAAGTAAGCACGCTAAATACGTTTTTTGCCACTCCACAACCCTGGTGCACCCAATCGCTATTCCCAGACTTATTCAAGAATTCGGGAAAGTTTTCCTTTCCTGAAGTTTCCTCAGTCGAATTACATAGGGCAACAACACGGCTCCCATCCCATAAAGCACCAGGACCAGATCAAATAAAAAATAAGACAATCAAAATAGGCCGACTATCTATCATCCCACTATTAGTACCCCTTTTCAACACAATCACTAGAACAGGGTCATTTCCTACCAACTGGAAATTGGCAACAATAGCTCCCATTTACAAAAACAAGGGCCTAAAAACAGACGCAAAAAACTACCGACCCATCTCGCTCTTGTCTTCAATCAGCAAATTGTTTGAGCTAACATATTTACCGTATTTGTATCGTGAAATTGAGTCCCTACTCCCAAGTTTCCAACATGGTTTCAGAAAAAACCACTCTGTCCAAACTGCCCTATTTGAAGTCACCGACTTTTTGTATAATACCATGGACGCGCAAAAAATTGCAATAGTTGTACAACTAGACATCAGTAAAGCCTATGACACGGTAAATGTAGGTAAATTGTGGCAAATGCTTACAGAAACACTAGATTGCTCCCCGCAGACGTCCCAACTTTTTAAAAATTATTTGACTGGCCGAAAAATCCAAACTAAGACGCAGTTAGGAACTTCAGGTCCTATTTCTATAACTACAGGAGTTCCACAAGGAACTGCATGGTCTCCAATATTATAATTTCTACACAAGCGGCATTAGCAAACTCAAAACTACGGCAAAAATATTAACGTATGCTGACGATACCCAATTGCTTTACGAGTTTGATCCTAAAACCAATTTCAGAGAACTAAGTAAAGTCATTGAGCAAGATTTTCTAACAATTTCGTCTTTTTTTACAACTCTTGACTTGAAAATAAATCAAGAAAAAACTATAGTTTCAAAATACGGGACTAGGCAGCAACTAGACAAAATTCGCCATATAAAAGAGCTACAAACACAAAACTTTTCTTGTAGAATCATGAGCGAAGCCAGAAACCTGGGCCTTTACCTTGACTCCGAACTAACTTTTCTAAATCACCATGTAAAAACCAGTAGAAACTGCTCCAAGACGATTTATGCGATCCGAAGAGCACGGGAACACCTTTCAGTTAAACACTGTACCCTGTTGGTCGAAAGTCTGATAATATCCCGCATCCGCACTTTTCTGCCACTAACTATGGTATCTGCAAACGTGCACCAAGAACATTACTCAAAAATCATCAGATCGTCACTCAGAGTTGTATATTCCGAAAAGAAACATGCTGATGTATCTCATCTCACAGAAAAACATCCCTGGGGGTCACTCCCTGATCTCGCCACCACAGTTTGCCCAACTTATAAACAAAGTCAGAAATCAACAAACAAGTGAGTACCTTAATGGTCAACTTGTATTAAAACAGGACCGCTATCGCCTGAGGCGACAGAGGTTCGAAACACCTTTCTGTAAAACCAATATAGGACAAAAAACATTTAAATTTCGTGCCAGTACTGTGTCTAACCAATCCTAACCGATTCACCACCGAACCGGACGATCATGGCGCACAGGCAATTTGTCTAGCGCAATAAAGTTGAAAGTTGAAAGTTGATATTATACTAGGCACCAATTAAAAAAAAAAGTGAATTAGAGATGTCGGAGTGAATTGACAGGACCTATACCATTCGAAATGTCACTGAATGAGATTTCATCACCGCAAGTTTCGCCTTTTTTGGAGTCAAATTGCGCCCGCACCGGGCCGAACACTCTGATATTATACCAGGCACCAATTAAAAAAAAAGTGAATTAGAGATGTCGGAGTGAATTGACAGGACCTATACCATTCGAAATGTCACTGAATGAGATTTCATCACCGCAAGTTTCGCCTTTTTTGGAGTCAAATTGCGCCCGCACCGGGCCGAACACTCTGATATTATACCAGGCACCAATTAAAAAAAAAAGTGAATTAGAGATGTCGGAGTGAATTGACCGGACCTATACCATTCGAAATGTCACTGAATGAGATTTCATCACCGCAAGTTTCGCCTTTTTTGGAGTCAAATTGCGCCCGCACCGGGCCGAACACTCTGATATTATACCAGGCACCAATTAAAAAAAAAGTGAATTAGAGATGTCGGAGTGAATTGACCGGACCTATACCATTCGAAATGTCACTGAATGAGATTTCATCACCGCAAGTTTCGCCTTTTTTGGAGTCAAATTGCGCCCGCACCGGGCCGAACACTCTGATATTATACCAGGCACCAATTAAAAAAAAAGTGAATTAGAGATGTCGGAGTGAATTGACAGGACCTATACCATTCGAAATGTCACTGAATGAGATTTCATCACCGCAAGTTTCGCCTTTTTTGGAGTCAAATTGCGCCCGCAGCAGGCCGAGCACTCTGATATTATACTAGGCACCAATTAAAAAGAAAAGTGAATTAGAGATGTCGGATTGAATTGACAGGACCTATACCATTCGAAATGTCACTGAATGAGATTTCATCACCGCAAGTTTCGCCATTTTTGGAGTCAAATTGCGCCCGCACCAGGCCGAACACTCTGATATTATACCAGGCACCAATTAAAAAAAAGTGAATTAGAGATGTCGGAGTGAATTGACCGGACCTATACCATTCGAAATGTCACTGAATGAGATTTCATCACCGCAAGTTTCGCCTTTTTTGGAGTCAAAGTGCGCCCGCACCAGGCCGAACACTCTGATATTATACCAGGCACCAATTAAAAAAAAAGTGAATTAGAGATGTCGGAGTGAATTGACCGGACCTATACCATTCGAAATGTCACTGAATGAGATTTCATCGCCGCAAGTTTCGCCTTTTTTGGAGTCAAATTGCGCCCGCACCAGGCCGAACACTCTGATATTATACCAGGCACCAATAAAAAAAAAGTGAATTAGAGATGTCGGAGTGAATTGACCGGACCTATACCATTCGAAATGTCACTGAATGAGATTTCATCACCGCAAGTTTCGCCTTTTTTGGAGTCAAAGTGCGCCCGCACCAGGCCGAACACTCTGATATTATACTAGGCACCAATTAAAAAAAAAGTGAATTAGAGATGTCGGAGTGAATTGACCGGACCTATACCATTCGAAATGTCACTGAATGAGATTTCATCACCGCAAGTTTCGCCTTTTTTGGAGTCAAAGTGCGCCCGCACCAGGCCGAACACTCTGATATTATACCAGGCACCAATTAAAAAAAAAAGTGAATTAGAGATGTCGGAGTGAATTGACAGGACCTATACCATTCGAAATGTCACTGAATGAGATTTCATCACCGCAAGTTTCGCCTTTTTTGGAGTCAAATTGCGCCCGCACCAGGCCGAACACTCTGATATTATACCAGGCACCAATAAAAAAAAAGTGAATTAGAGATGTCGGAGTGAATTGACAGGACCTATACCATTCGAAATGTCACTGAATGAGATTTCATCACCGCAAGTTTCGCCTTTTTTGGAGTCAAATTGCGCCCGCACCAGGCCGAACACTCTGATATTATACTAGGCACCAATTAAAAAAAAAGTGAATTAGAGATGTCGGAGTGAATTGACAGGACCTATACCATTCGAAATGTCACTGAATGAGATTTCATCACCGCAAGTTTCGCCTTTTTTGGAGTCAAATTGCGCCCGCACCAGGCCGAACACTCTGATATTATACTAGGCATCAATTAAAAAGAAAAGTGAATTAGAGATGTCGGAGTGAATTGACCGGACCTATACCATTCGAAATGTCACTGAATGAGATTTCATCACCGCAAGTTTCGCCTTTTTTGGAGTCAAATTGCGCCCGCACCAGGCCGAACACTCTGATATTATACTA